GCTTGTCACCGTACCGACCGTCGCTCAGAAACCATCAACGAATCTGGACGATACCGAACTCACCAACGATCTCTTTGACACCCATTTTCCGACTGCCCGGTGAGAGCTCTGTGAATGAGCACATGGCCTGCTCAACACGAAGTACTCGCTCCGGCAGATGTTCTTCGATAGCTTCCTTCTGTAAAGACCTTTTTGAGTATACTTTTGTTGGTCTTTTCGAGACCAGACTGACTTACCTGAAGATCGGCCATAAGTTTCGGTAGGCCCTCCAGTCCATGCCATCTGTAGTAGGACTTGTTAGTCTTACTCATCGCATCCAACGCTTCCATGACATTCACTATATCGTAAATTCGACGTTTTTCAACATCTAAACGTCACAAATATTGATTTTTCAAGGATAGAAAGAAAAGGAATAACTCTGGTAGGAAATGAACTCACTCATTTTTCGTGCCACCGTCTCCAAATGCACTTCTTTGGTTGACGAACTACGTGTTTCTTCGTTCATTGCGACGAGAAACCTATAGATAATCGATCCGCGTGCTATCATTTTATTGATTAACCGATTCGATCAATACCTTTGGCACAACAACCCAAGACTTTTCTCCTTTCGTGATGTCACTTCACCGTCTTCACTTTCAACGTCTACATCGTCACTTGATTCTCGTCGTGATGAACAGGAGCTGGTCATAGCAAAAAGACGTGGTGACTCGGGAATCGATTCTGAAGCGAAAATCAATTATCGATGGATGTTTTGAGCAATAATGATAAACTGGATGCAAGAAATATTGAGAAGAGATAATGAGAAACGTTTAACATTTCCAAAGGAACTGTCTCGATAACAAATCGCTGGATCGTTCTATGAAAAAAAATCGATTTTTGGAATGATTTCAAGTCCATAATCAATAACAGAAAAGAAAGTCAATGAATAATACAACATTCATTTTTATGAAAGTTATACATAACATGTTAGCCACCTACCCCTAACAGTTACCAGCTTTTGCTACATAACATGTTAGCCACCTACCCCTATCAGTTACCAGCTTTTGCCTATGCCCCCCTCCTCCTGCCAGCGGACAACACACGGCAGCTATAGGAAGTTAACACACAATCAGCATATTTACAGATGAAATATCAACCTTTTAAATCAATAAAACGTATAGGACATGAGTATTGTAGGCGATCTCCTGTTTCCCGCCCGAAGGGACAATTTTCGTTATGAGCCAGATGTATTTACGGACTTAGGTTGGAATCGAGGGACACGTGTCGGGGTAACATGGTCACAGGACCGGAGCTACAAGGAAGGCTTTTCTCAGTACGATCCATCTCACCACTTTGCCGAGAGCTCCTCTAGGCCCCAAACTATGCTTCCCTTAACGACAAGCGATGTACATATATATGCCCTAGGCAGCGTAACGAGAAGTGACAATGCAGGGTACGCAACGGGTCGAAGAAATGGCCACTGTCAGACTATCCTCACCCCGCCCCAGATTTCTTTTTTCCCGGTACAAATCCCATTCCCCCATTTTACCTCTTACTTTCGCCTCCGAATAACTGCTAAGTTCAAGTGCTGAAAACAGCGGAAACAGTAGTCGTACGAAGTACACGCCGCCTGTTTATGAGTAAGGAGGGGTGGGGGAGAGGGTATAAACCCATGGAACGAGAAGAATCGAGAAGAGTCAACAAAAAAAAACAAAAAAATTCTCTCGCGGTTTGGAAACAGTTTCTGTCAGATCAAACAAGCCCCCCCCTCTCTCCTAAGGCTACCAAGTCCGACCTTCCCTAGCCGGTAGATCCTCCCGATAATGCTCTACTCTGAAGGCATGAAATCAAAGAGTTGTAGGAGGAAATGGCAATCGCATCTACCCAGGAGGGACAAGCACGGGTACAATACGACACTTCCTCTAAGTATGAGGAATTGCTAGGGATTGTGGTGCCGACGCCGACAGGGCTGCCTTTCATGGGCTGTGTCGTTGATGTGATCTAGCTCCGGGACAACGGAACGTTACTACATAGCGAAACAATTTCGGCGCTTTCGACAGAGCTTATCAACGAATCGGCGCGAAATTCAAATCGATAAACACTTCTTGTAACATAGTTGTTCGTTCTATCAACGTTTTGCCCGTTAAGACTGACCCATGTCAGAGCCGATAAGGGGTTTCTGAACACCTCTGGCTGATAAGAGACGTTCGCCGCGATGACCGTTTATTGCGTAAACTCTCCAGCGAGACCCTGATGCTTTTTTTGATGGAGCAGTATATGGCCTAAGATAGCGCATATCAGGCCACACATTTTCAAATAGCGGACGTTCACCAGTTGAAAGACAGTGCTATCGCTGACAAACTGTATCCAAAAGACTTGCTCATCGTAGAAAACTGGCAGTATAATGGAAATGGAAGCAGTTCGGCTTGGTGGGGGCATACTGTGGCTCTCACTGATTACTGCCGATGCTTTCAGTAGAGCCCGTAACTTCCTGTAAAGCTTCGCAATGGCAGAAGCTTTGTATTCCACCTGACGAGAGTCTACATGGATCACCAGGGTGGAAAAATGCCCTGCCATCCGAGCCAGACACACGGATTTGTAATAGAAATAAACGGGTGTCATGTCGCCCAAGAGGGCAGAGGGCATGTAAACCGGAACATTTGCTCCAGGACTGCGACAAAGCTGACGCGTCATTCGACATCCCCACTGGCTGAACAAATTCGCGTTAGCGAGCAACACGGCTTCTTCCTTTTGTTTTTGGGCCAGTTTTAGGCAAGAAGACCTTACTCCACTTCACTGTGCCATTGCTAGTTTTTTTTTCAGCAAAATCTAAATGCCCCCATAACCCGACTTTTGGGGGAATATCCCTGCCCTTAACCCCTTGGATCAGAGTGCGCGCTGAGGTTCAGATAGCACAGCATAGCATACTGCCAAAGCACACCAGGCTAGCCTATTCTAATTCTGCTAAAACCTCAGGTGAAAATCTGAAAATTTCGATCATGCAATATTTGTGAAGTTATAAAACACGAATTTGAAGATAAAAATCAATAGACAAAAAATGGGGAGTAAAAAGGTAACGAGAAGATACATGATGAAAAATGTGATAAGTGAATGACAAATAATAGATGCATGAAAAATAATATGTGTTGTTAATAATGTTTGAAGTTGCAGCAAAGCAGACTTAATGACCCACCTTGACTCTGCATAGACACGCCGGAGTTCTGCGACAATGGCGAATGAATCGTGGTAACGTCGACGTCGACTTCCGGCAGAACTGTACCTCCACTGTCCGATACGGTAGGCTTTTGATCGGATAAATCGATGGGATACGGTATGTTTTCCTTATTCGCCTCGAGCAGCTCAGCCCATTGCGACATACTGACTAGAATACTGCAAAATGGTGAAATATAGGAAAAAAACATGAGAGTTTGGAAGAATATCGATGCGACTATGAAGCGGACAAGTTCTTTTCAAAGGCGACCAACAAACGGTGAGTAGGACGAAGGTGTACGGTAGGAAGGAATGCGCTCATTGTGCGTGTATGTATGCATCAAGGTGTGTGAGTGCGTGGATGAGTGACAAAAGATGCGAAGATGTTGCGTCATACCAGATGGGTCAACGTCTTTCCATTGATGACACGCTCATTGTAACAGCAGGGGGAGCTTCGACGAGCCGCCAACACTCAGGCTCGCACACCTGCAGCGCAGAACCGGACATAAGCCGGCTAGCAGAAGTGCGCGCACGCGCGAACATGCTGCAGATGTTGATGGCAGGCTAAGGGTGCTCCGAAAAGTAACCATTGACTTTTTCAATGCTTGTCTCTGACTTCAGAGAGCCCGACCAATGGTGAACTGTAACGCTCTTCAGATTATTATGGCGATTCAAAACTAATCACATGAGCAGGACAGTGCCTTGTCACAAGCAAAAAAGCTTGTTTAAAAAAGTCAATGAGCTTCTTTTGTAGAGTCAAGCACACTTAGAAATAATATGTATTATACAGTGCATTTACTGCCGCTGGGGAATATTTTGAGAGAACAGGATTACCCCAATAAGACTTCTCAACGTGGTGGGTAAGTGAAACAGAGAAAAAAAGCAATTAAAGAAGTGATCGCAGCTCGAATACAACCACCTGATAGGACATCTTTAGGGATTCTCAAGCGAACACTGGATGGGTTCGTGAAGATGTAGTTCCTTGTTTGGAGAGAAAATCAAGCGATGATTGGCAGAGCCAAAGGTCTGAGATCTGAAGCTTCGGACCTAGCGATTTTCGACCAGCACTGATTCAGCAAAACAAGCTCTTCAAAAAGCAATGGACGGAGCACTTTCAAGACAAAATGTACATCACACTCGCGGAATCCGGGCCCTTGTTCAATGCGTTCGAGGTGAATGGGTCAGCCACCAGGGTGCAGCCTTTTTAATCCCTGGACGCTACCACATGGCCAGCCACAAGCTTAACCATAGCCAAACGCGCCACTCGTCTGCGCCCTCTCACTCAGTTGTTCTCCACCAGTGATTGCCTCTTTCGCATTTCGCGACTTCGACACAGAAGTTGCCCACTGAAGGTGGCGCGGGCGGTGCATGAAGAGGGCTTCCAAGTTCTGCTATACTTCCAGCCCCGTTCCTGTGCGTTTTCAAGTGGAGAAAGTGACACGCTACTGCAGATGCGGGCCAATTTACTTCGCACATGCAAAGGACCATCCTTGGTAGTGGGAGCACAGTTTGTCCTTGAATAACTTAGCTCAGCCCTGCGCTAAAAGTACCTTTCCACTGCCACTTTTAGCCGTTTCATTTTTTAAGTGTCAAATTTGTTCATCTATTCATTTGAAAAGATATCAAGGTGCATCAAGGATGTGAGGCTCAACTAAGTGACCCAAAACAAAAACAGACAACATCGTTCAAGGCCCAAGCACACACATGTCAACGTTCACCCAGATGGAAGGCTTGAAGTAAACGACAGCGCTTACTTATTGACAGGCTAAAAGTGAATGATTTTACCCGGAAAAAAAACTGAGCAAAACCCTGACAAAAAGTTTGCTTTCTATGCTCATCACTTGAGGTGGTTATAGGCTTCCAGTAGGAAAAAAGATCATTCGTCATTGCGTGATCATTTCATAACCACTCATTTTATCGCCCTCTGGAAAAGGAGGGATTTTGGGCTCGGAATAGGATGTTCTACTTGTCCCACTTCTACCCATGACCCAAGAGCTCAGCGATGCGAACACATGGTATACGCAATGTTAGAGGCCCATGGAATTACATGACACGAAATTACATCATTCACGGGTATTAGTGATGTATTAGTGGGGCAAATTATAATACCACCAAATGTCCACGTAGTATTCCTACGTGATTGTCTTGGAGTTATCAAAGGAGGGCGCGTGCAGAAACGAAATGTATCATTTAGAAGCGGAAATGGATAAGGGCGGAAACGAGGGTAGGAGAAGTCATGCAAACGAGTCTGGTAAAGCTGAAATTCCCTGGAAGAGGCTGCGGTTACAAGCAGGTATCGTACAGGGCAATAAGAGCATCAAGAATGG